CAGTGCAAATGTCAATGCTGCAGCCTTTTGTGCTCGAGCACTCCCAATTTCGTCATTTCCGGCCAGCATTGCTTTTGCATTTTGCACCAAGATGCCCGGTGCCGCTCCCAAGAGCGTTGCAGCTCCAGCTGTTGCCAAGGCTCCAGCTGTTCCCAAGGCCACTGCTGCCCCTGCAAGTGCCCATCCTCCAGCCAAGGCTCCTCCACAGACTGCACCATGGGTGGCTGCCATGGTGCCGCCACCCTGCGGGTGGTACTTTCCAGCGGGAGCGACCACCATGAATCCGTCGCCCAACCACATCCTCCAAGTGCCAACAGACGACGAGGCTGACAATTAAAAATTATCCAGAGCCCGGCCACTGGGTCTGGATTGAATGCCAACGTTGCTTGGCTGTGCGCTGCCACTTTGGGGGATCCACCAGGCCCGCTCCTGTGCCAGGTGCGGGTACAGTTGGCTCCACTCCATGTTCCATGGGTTGCAGATCGGGCACCCTACAACCAGCCCATCGACGACCATGACACCAACCCAGAGGAGCACGAGGGCCAAGAGGACCAGGCCAACTACGAGGACCATGCTGGCCACGACCAAGAGGACCAGGCCGACTACGAGGACCATGCTGGCCACGACCAAGACAACCAGGGCCACACGGAGGAGGAGGGCCAGACGGAGCACCAAGACGACCAGGGTGACGAGGAGACCTTCCCCCGCCCAACTTGGCCAGACTGGGCGGTCATGGACTTCTACCATGCCCTGCAGGAGAACCAGCAGCCCACGGAGGAGCCCACGGAGGAGCCCACGGACGAGCCCACGGAGTCCAGCTTCCCACACAGCCCATGAAGGACCATCGTATATCAGAAGCTTTTCTTGTTTCTTTTTTTTTACCTTGCAGGACCGGCGGCCTGAAGGCACCATGATCTTCCATGGAGACAGCGGCCATGCAGGGCACCAGCATCTGCGATCTTGCATCGAGCGATAAATGCATATAAATATGTGCATGTATATTGCTATACTTGTACACACTCGTTGCCACAATGGCCAGAACCATGTGTATGTATATATATATATATAGACAGATATACATAGACACACACATATATATATATATATATATTCGTGTACTGCTAGTCAGACACACTCCTTGCCACAATGGCCAGTACCAATTGACAGTGTGGACAGCATGTTGATCCCAAGCCAGCATGATCTTTGTTTTACATTTATATATAGCCAAAGCCATTATGGCCAGCTTCGGTTTCCTATCCATATATTTAAAGACAGCCATTGTGGCCAGAGTTTTTTTGCTTTCAGTGTTTTTGTTTTTTAATTGTTGGAGCCATTGTGAGCAGCAGTCCCAAACACAAGAGAACCTCACAGTCCCAACACCAGCAGATCCATCGCAAATTTCAGTGGGGTGTGTTCCAGTGCATGGTTGAGTGCATGTGCCAGCTGCCACAGGATCACCTGGAGATTGCAAGTGATGCAGTGTGATTCTGTGATCCGCGCTCGCGTTGTTCCAGTGGCTCAGGACAGCAACGAAGCACACAACGACCACGTGAACAACTCTAGGACAAAGATTTGCAGTCCATGTGCCAGGGATACCATACACAAAGAGTTTTGCACTTAAGATTGCAATTACAATCTTAAGTGCAGAATCTTTGCACTTAGGATTGTAATTACAATCTTAAGTGCAGAATCCTTGCACTTAGGATTGTAATTGCAATCTTAAGTGCAACATGCTTCCTTGCAGGCCTTCACACGTAGCATAGGTGCCACCCAGTTTTTCCAGTTGGACTGCCGCCATGGAGGACGACAACCGGACCGTCGTCCCCTCGACACCCAGCCCAGAGTACAACCCCCACAGTGGGGAGGAGAGCTCGGTATCCCATGAGACTGTGGTGCCAGAGGAGAGGCCAACTGCCAAACCTCGCACCACAGCCAAGGAGGCTCCAGTTGACAGACCAGTGTTTGCATGGCCGACTCCACCAGACTGGGCACCACTGCAGGCGATGGTACAACAAGCAGTGCACCAGCATTTGTGTGGCGGGCTGCGGCCACTGGCCGCACCATTGGTGTCGCCACCGGCACCATTGGTGCCTCCACTAGCACCATTGGTGCCGCCACTAACACCATTGCTGCCTGCAGGTGCACCCTTGGTGCCTCCAGGTGCACCATGGGTGCCTCCAGGTGCAACCAACTGGAGGCACCACTGCTGCCTCCTGGGGCAGCATTTCCTCCAGCACCACCTTTGGTGCAGGCAGCACCACCATTGGTGCAACCACCATTGGTGCATCCAGCACCACCCCAACCTGGCACACCGTTCGTGCCTTTCCCAGTTGGACCTACTTCGCAGCCACAGAAACCCAGTGACCCCATGGAGGTAAGCTTCGCGCCCATGGGACCAAGGATTCAGCCACGAGCACCCCCAGCAGAGCCGAGACCAGCAGCAGCACAGCAGGCTAACCCGGCACAGGCAGCACCACAACAACAAGGCCATGAGTTGCCAAAGCAGGGGGAAGCTACCCCAGGAGCCAGCCCAGCAGCCCAACCCAAGGAAAACCAAGGAGGACCATCCCAAGCAGCCGGGCCAACAGCAGAGCAGCAGCCACAGCAACAGCCACATCAGCAACCAGCCACAGCAAAGCAACAGCAGCAGGCACCCTGGCGGCGAAAAGAGGCACCACTGCCAACGGAAGCCACATGGCCACCAATGGAATTAAGCAAAGCAAAAACTTTCAAGGGCAAAGGGAAAGGCAAAGAATCCACTCTAAGCAACATCCCGGCCGCATTCCGAAACCAAGCAGTGGGCCAGACAGCCAAAGTCGTCCCGCCACCGAAGCCCAAAGCCGAGGCAGCAGCACCAAAGCAACAGCAGACACCAGAGCCGGCCACCTCCTCCCACAACCCATGGGCTTTCCAAGGACCGCCACCCAAGCTGCAGCCACAAGAACCAAGCTACCCACCACCTGGATACCGGCCAAACAAAGAGCCAAGACAGCCAAAGGCCAGCCAACCCACTGCTGCTGAACCACCCGGTGAGACCGGGATGGCACTGGAGATGCCAGTCCGGTCCACTGGAAGCATAAGGCCTGCTGGCTTTTGACCCGCTGGCAGCACAAGGATTGGGCAGGGGTGGAGCAACTCTGCACCATGTTCCGCCAGGAGATCCAGGACCAGCAGCCCACCTTCTGGGTCACTGGCAAGCCAACATGGGCCCGAAAGGTCCAGTGGTTCATCGACCACTACAGCCAGGGCGAGTACGATCGGTGCCAGAAGATGTTCCAGTGGCACCATGGACCTTATTTTTTTCCAGAAACCATATAGCTCCGGATCTTTTGTTTAACATAGGTCATATATATATATATATATATATATATATTATGTGTAATTGTATATATGGATCGGAAAGCCATATCTGTCTATAGGCATATATATAGGATAAGCCCTTTTTATAGGCGTTTTTTTTCTGTAGTTTCAACCAATAGTCCAAGTACGGTTAGGGTTCAGGGCCACTTAGGGGTTAGGGTTTAGGGCTTTAGGCTTTAGGGTTTAGGGGTTTAGGGTTTCGGGGTTTAGGTGTTTAGGCTTTAAGGATTGAGGGTTTATAACCATTTTTTTAGGGTTCAGGGTTCAGGGCCGTTTAGGGTCTAATGTTTAGGGTATTCGCAAAAGGGCATCAAGGCCAGGGTTTACCGTAACTCCCACAAAGAACCGACCATGTTAAGGACATATATAAGGCAATCATGATCAGGAAATAGGTTTCATAGGGCTCCGGTGAGGTTTACCTATAATCTCCATTGTAGTTCCTGTTTATGCTGAACCAAGTTTATATGATAGGGTTTTAGCCATAAAACGTTTACTAAACCCTAAACCCTAAACCAGAAATCCCGTAAATCCAAACTGGTTAACCAAAGAAAGGACCTATAAAGAAGACTGGAGGTCGAGTCTAGGGTTCCTTTTCAGACCCCCCCAACTACCCATAGGCCCCATAGTAGTTCCTTTTGAATCCTATAAGGTAATCCCAAAAGGAACTACTATGGGGCCTATGGGTACCCTCCAAGATAACCTTAAATCCCTACTCTCTCGGACCAGAAGGGCTCGATGAAAGGGCACTTGTACCCTAAACCCTAAAGCCTTAAACCCTAAACCCTAAACCCTAGGCAGGGGGTTCTTGGAGGCCCAGGGGACTTAGCAATTCGGTTATAAGTAGGACTATAATTGGGGTAACTCCATTTAGGGTACGTAACAACTCTACTTACAACCTACTTACTAAGTCCCCTGGGCCTCCAAGTTTAGGGATTCCAGTAGAAAGCACGCAGCTGTTTGAGTCGGCCTCGGGAAGCATTTGCCGACCTTCCCAAAGGGTCCCAAGTACCTCTAAAAAGCCGCTGTAGAGCGCTTAAGGGAGCAGTCGAAGGAACTCCTATAGAGCCCTGAAAAGGAGCCTTTCCAGGAACCCTGATAGATCTCTTAAAGAAGCATTGAAAGGAACCCCGAAAAAGATGCCTTAAAGGAGTCTTGAAAGGAACCCAGAAACCCTAAACCCTAAACCCTTAAAGGAGCCCTTATGGAAGAGACTTCGCCAAACCGTCATCAGCTGCTTAGGACCCATTGGGCCTAAGCCCCTGAACCACAAGTCACGACAGGCTTCTTTGGGTCGGCGGTTTAGGGTTTAGGGGTTTAGGGTCTAGGGGTTTAGGGGTTTAGGAGTTTAGGGTTTAGGGGTTTAGGAGTTTAGGGTTTTGGGTTTATTGCTTTCACGGGGCCACATACTTGAGGCTGCTCGGGCCTTGGGATGAAGTTACTGGTACGCTGGACGCTTGACATTTCCACAAGCCCTTATGCAGCTTTATGAAACCTTATAAGAATTCCTTTCCTAAGCATTAAGGTCCCTCTACTAAAGTCAGAAAAGGCTTCTAGATTCTAAACATGCCTGGCCCAGGAAGCACTGAAATGCCGCTTGGAGGAGGCGAAGAAGCAGGCAAGGCCTCAGCTCATTTTCGGGTCTCGCGGTTTCAGGGATTACCCTCCTCGCCCTGCAAAAACACCTGACCTAACCACCCTAAAACCGCAACCCCTATAAGACCCAAAAATCCTCAGCCCTTCAGCCTCAAACTCCATAAATCCACCACACAACGACCGTAAACCCTAAGCCCAAGGACCCCCAAGCCGCCCAGGGCGTGGAACTGTGCTTTCAGAGGTTCTAAACATGACGCTGAAATCGAGACGGTTTAGGGTTCAGGGCTCTATTTTTAGGGAAAAAGTTTAGGGTTCAGGGTTCAGGGCCTGGATGGAAGATTTGACGGCTGAGAGGATAAGGGTTTGCGATGGCTTTTTCTGGGTTAGTGAGGAACCACGAGGGTTAGGTTTTAGGGTTCAGGGGTGTAGGGTTTAGGGGAACATGGGCTTAGGGGGATTGGTGCTCGGATCCCTTTTACTTCACCTTAAGGGCATGAGGAGAATAATGTTCTAACTTTCTGACTACTACTATATGAGGGTTTGTCAAGCCGGGGTGGACCCCTCATGATAGTCCGAAGAACTTTGTCATAGTTGGGTAACATTTTACATTTTTAAGGGTACTTAAACCCAATAAGGAATGTAAATTTAAAGTGTTACTACTACCCCAACCATGAACTAGAGAAAAGCTGGAGGTAGCGGAAGGATTTGGGCTTTGGGTATTTTCAGCTTAACCCGACCTTTAACTGCCCCCAAGGGTCCATGTACTCATATAGCATATACATGGGCCGTAAAGTACCTATATAGGGACTACATGAAGGCCAATGTATATACTATTTGGGCACATGGACCCTTAGGGTGCCCAAGACAGCTAAGGAGGGTGGCTG